ATTAGAAATGTGATCCCAAACAAAATCTGATAGTGATATTGAAAGGATATATTCTGTGGCTCACCGTAGTTAGGTAAGTTTGGTTTGTGAATGATAAGAGACACATCTCATTCTCATCACATAGAGAAAAAAGAAGCACGCTTTCGTAACTTGTTAAGCTTGAGTTCATCCTGGTACCTTGTGCTTTGCGTGTGATGAATGCAGCAGCTTTTTTCACCATCTTTCGTGGAAGACACCTTTGTTTTTGTATTTTAAAAAAGTACTTTTAAGAAAATGATTTTTTATTTTAATTTAATTTTTAAAATATTTTCAGATGGCTAACATTAAAAATAATGTTTTAAAAATAAAAAAATATATTTTTAATAAAAAATATTTTAAAAACTTATTATTATTATAGTTTATAAAAATATATAGAAAAAAAAGAGAGAGAGACTTTGGCTTGCTTGTTTAGCAAACCATCTTTGATTTAGCGCATCCAAGAAGTCACATTCTTCTTTTCTTTGGTTACAGTAAAAGATGTCAGACGGAGAGATAGGGTTGTTTTATTTTATTTATTTGGAGCTAATTAACTATTTCACTGTATTATATATTTTGGATTTTGGAGGAGAGTGAAGACTCCACTAAAGCCCGAGTCAAATAATTGACCATGTCAAGATCTGTGGGAGAGCTTTCCAATGTCAACATCCCAGAATACATGCAAGCTGTTCGTTTGATTACATAAATAGTCAGAAACATAATTATTGTAGTACATGGGTAAATAATTAATTGGGAAGCCGTATTTTAAGATTTTAACCCACGTAGATTTCACATTGTTGTACTTTGGACTCTATAGTTTAGTATTTTTCAGTGTCGATCTCATAGCTGCCAGAGTCCCAACATCTCCTTTCCCTGTTAAATAACTAACGACGGTCCAATTTATTAAAATCTAATTATGGAATTTTTAAGTGTTTCTTGGTGGATTATCGAGATAAGCGGAAAGGTTAATTCTCGTCATTAATTATGGTATTTTATTGTGTTATTGATTGAGAGGTTGATGTTTCTCTGTGCATAGAATTTGTTGTGTTCACGAACACCAATTGATATTTTGAAGGAGTGTAAGTATGTACGAGGTGGTGGTGTCCAAGGTTAATTTGTTTTGACTTATCAGAATTTAAAAAATAATTTGAGGTCTATGCCTGGATAAAAATATTGGGCTGAGGCAACCTAAAAAAAAATAAAATTACGGTCAGCTCATCAGGGCTAGAGGGTGTTGAGTTATGATGCCTAGCCTCTAGCCTGAAAGAATAGAATTTTTTTTATTTAGGTTTTTGTTTTATTATTTATTTGAAAGTGTGATTTTGATTTTTTTAAAATATTTTTATTTTAAAATATATTAAAATAATATTTTTTATTTTTAAAAATTATTTTTAATATTAATACATTAAAATAATTTAAAAACATCAAAAAATACTAATTTAAAATAAAAAAATATAATTAATTTTATTTTTTAAAAATATTACTTTTAAAATATAAAAATAAACAGGATTATAATCTTTTACAAGAAAAAAATAAAAAAAGATAAGAAACAAGGATAAAAAAAATAAAAATAAAAAGACGAACATTTGGTTGCCTTTCTTGACTCTCGGGGGTTACACTAGAAAGAAGTTGTGGGATTAACATCGAGAAGGTTTTAGATAGGGATCGAAGAGGAACATTGTTGAATCTGCAACTGCTAAACTATAATCCAAATTGAAAGAAGTAGGATGATGACTTTGAGCAATGTTGAATAGTGGACGTGAATCCCATTACAGGTTGTGAATATATATGGTGATAGATTATCATTGATCAGAAGTTATATGCAACTTATGTTCACAAGTAAACATCATGTTACTATTTACAATGAAATTAATAGACTGTTACATTAATTTTTTGAATGCTTTTGTCTTTCTTACTTCTCTGGAAATAATAAGGATGTATAATAATCATGCTGCCATGGAGTAGGTTAAATTCTGTGTTACGAAAAGATGCTTCCATACTGGAAGTGGGTTTTATTTCATTTATAAATGAAAAGAAGGTTTTTTCTTTTTTTTAAATAAAGAAAAAATGAAGCTATTGAGGATGTAAAAAACGAATTAAAAGTTAAAATGTTAAATATGTTCGATAGGAATTGAAAAATTTAGAGATGAAAAAGTGGATTCTAATATAAATTTAATCAATATTTAAATTAAATAAAATTATTAAAAATTAATTAATATTATGCTTTTTTTGTCTAGAACGAGAAGTGTGATAAAATAAAATAAAAATATTAATTAAAAAAAAAAACACAAAAACCAAGATTTTTCTGTCTCAACTTTCACCTCAAATTTTTATGTGCTCTGTTGAATATTGGTGGAAAATCCAGAACATTTCGAAAGGCAAGAGTTAAAAAGAAGATGCTGTCCGAATCGCAGGTGTCCCCTTCACTCTTGTGAAGCATGGAGTGCTACGTAGGTTTTACTATAACAGATTAATACAGAAACAGTATCTTTTGAGATGAGTTAAAGTCTTTTTTAGCCATTTCCTGGACTAAACACATCTTCTCTTCGGATTTTTATTTCTAGTTCTTCTGTTCTCTCTAGGCGATCCCTAAGACCAGGACACTCTTTAGGTTTCTCAATATATTCTTACAAATATAATCTAGTCTTCATAGAAGTTTTTTACCAACTTTATCAATCATATAGAAATATAACACGATAAAAACATGTATTACCATAGAAGTTGATTTATTATAAGCTGACATGATTAGCTTGCGAGGCTCAAGACTTCGACCAACTTTATCAATATATTCTTCATGCTCAGGTTAAATAGCAAGGGAACTCACCTCGTCATCTCGCCAAAGCCCTTCCTCGTATTCATGGCATTTAAACCGTCCCAAGTCTTTGTACGCACGCATACATGCACATTATGCAAGCGTCATTCTGACCGGCGAAGAAGTTCTAAAGCTGTGAGGTTCTTACTTCAGTCACCTAGTCACGCTCCCAGTGTAACGAAATGGGTTTTTGGTTTGATGAGTGTCTACGATGACAGAATGAGATATGTTGAGTACCTCGAAGTCGAAGAGCATCAATGTGATCTTCAAAGCATCTTTATGCAGAACCGAACAATATCGCAGGCTCAAGACCTTGAGATTTGGGATGTAAATAAACAAGGTAGTCGCAAAATCATGATCATATGGGGACTCGAGCCCTTTTAATTTCCCTATTGCAGCACAGAGCATATCTGCTCTAATTTGATTCCAAGCTGGAAGCACAAGTTGTTTAAGGTTTGAGCACCTGCAAAGAAGATTGTTTCATTTAGACCAGCTACATGGTCTGTATATGCAAATCAATTTTAGCAGTGAGACGTGATGGAACCATGAGAACGAAACCTCTCAGCTGCAAAGATTAAGTGCTCGTCCTTAATGTTCATATTGAAGTCGAAAATCAATCGAGTCACATTATTGCAACTCAGAGTTAACGCAATGTTCAACATCGGCAGTAACATTCGATTACACTGCTCAAACGCCCTACAAGATCTTCGCTGGATAACTTTCATGAGGCCGAACTTCAATGCACCCACATCATGTGTTCCCCAGAGAATTGAGTCAGAACATGCCCTGCTCCAGGACGTACAGACTCTACGTACATTAGAAACTAAATCCAAGATGCTCAGCTTCATGAATATCTTAACTAGGATAGCATAATCCAGAGTTTCCCAAGTTCTTCTAACAGCACGTATGTAGATCTTGCTTTCCATCGGTTGGAATACTTGCCTACATCATGCAGAACAAAAACACACATCGTTTTTTTTTTTTTTTTTTGCTGTGATCAGGAGAATCAATAACAAATAAGGATCCATTGGAAGAACCAGAAGCATCAATTAACAAATCGGAAGCCCCAATCAGTATAGAAATCCTTTTGGAACAAATAAAAAAGCTTAACAACAATTTATGATCATTAAATTATAGGAACAGCATTGACGATGTTTACATGTATGATATTGTGCTGTCTTCATGAAGAACCTGTTCTTTACCAGAGAATAAAGTTTTCACTGAGCGAAAATACCAGATGGGAAATATTGGTAGTTTATGGTGCGTAATCACAGACGCGCAAGAAAAGAAATACTATAACAAATAAGAAAATACCAACATGCCTAAAAATACCAAATGAAATAATTGTTAAACTGCAATCAATTGACTAGCAACTTATCAAAACCATGAAAAAACAGCTGCTAGATGAAGCGCTTCTTCGTCGCATTCACATGTATCCTTTACATTTTTGCACCTTCCAGATATATTTTCTTGTCAAGTTGAAAGGTCTTCCAGATATATTTTCGCATTCACATGAGTAGTCCCTAAAACTGTCGATTTTCATAACAAAGTGTCAATAGAAAAGCCAAACGCAATGAATTCTATATCATCGAACAAAACGGATAGATGGCTAAAAATCATAAAATTTAAGAAAAAATAACAAAATTGAATTAAATATGATTTTCAGTTCCGTGTAGTGGATGGATTGGTGAAGTCAGAAATTTCCTGTAAAAATTTGACCTCAATTCAGCGATTAAATTAAAAATTATTATACTTTTGCCATTGTGCCAATTGGCACTATCAAATCTATTTTAGGACCTAACCATCTTCTACTCGTCCATTAAAATATATATTAAATCTTCCACATATTCTATTTATGGCCTCCCTCCACTTAACTATGACATATCTCTACATCATCTTTTTTTTTTTAACATTAATTTGTTAATTGATTGCAATCTAAAACTTACACGAGAGACAAGCTTTTGTTCCCTGCGTATTTATATTCATGGATTATTATTTGGAATTCTTGTCAAAAAATGAAAAAAGAAAAGAGAGGAAACTATTCAATACAGAAAAAAGGAAAGCATGGTGAAAAGCTACAGATACATGTTGACAGAAGCTAATGATAGCAAACAAACATAGAATACTTAAATTTCATGAGCGAAAAAGATTTTGGATGTGAATTTTAAATTGGCAACTTTATTCTCTCTGAAGAAAAAAATAATACTTATCAAGTTTGTTTTTTTAAAAGGTTTATAATACCTTAATTAGACTAAAAACCCTATTTCACTTAAAAACACAAAAATAAAAATCCAAACATAGAAAGATAATAATTATAAAATCCAAAACAATGTATAAAATTAAAAAAAAAACAAGGAAAATAATAAAATTAACCCAAACCAGGATTTGAACATAATTTTTAATATTTCAAGATCTGACGGTTAGTATGGCATAAAAAAGCTATTATAAAGAAAAATTTTTTTAAGAAATTCTTGCAAAAATTTAAGCTCAATTGAACAGTCAAATAAAAAATTATGATTTTATTAGGTTATTATTCTGATTTGAAACAACTAAACCTTTTTTAAAACCTAAATCTATATCACTAGTTTATAAATGTACCTATTAGATCATCTATATAATTTGTTCATGATAGATCATCATCTAGTTGTTGTAAATTCATATCTGAATGCTTAAAATCACTTGTTATCTCAAGTCCGATTACATTACTTGTCATCCTAATTTGTAATCTTATCGATTTTGATCCTCCCTCTTCCAACTGCATTTTTTTGGCTTTTGATGTCTTTTGAAGTGTGAGTTTTTTTTTTTAATTTTATCTTTGGACATTCTATTCAATTTAATTTTTTTATTTGATTTGATCCTTCTACTTTTAATTGCTCTATTTCTTAAAAATAAATTTTGCAATTTTATCCCTTTTAATTTTATTGCATTTTTTTAAATTCACTCTTGTTCCATTATCTTTTTATTACTATATTCTTGTCCTTTTCTTGATTTATCTTTTTTTTTTAATTTTATCCTTCAATATTTAATTTCATTTGATCTTTTATCAAGTTTTGATCCTTATTCTTTCAATAACTTTTTCTTTTAATTTAGCCTCTAATTATTTTCTTTCATTTTTAATGCTATATTTAGTTTTTATTAATTAGGTTTTAAATTATTTTACAGTTAGATATTTTACTTTTTTATTTTTTCATAGTTATCTTCCAACATGATAATTTTTTATTGAAAATTAATTATTTTTTTAATTTTATTATTTGACATTTAATTATAAAGCATTTAGCTTCATTATTTTTTACATTTTTTTATTGAATTATCACAATTTTATATTTCTATGATAGGCTACTCAAGTTATCCATAGTCGCCTAGATTTTTTTTGTATAGGTTTTTTATGAAATTGAATTTTTTATCAATTTCTAATCAATCAACAAGCATTGAAGTTCCAAAGCAATCAATAAGCATTGAAGTTCCAAAGCAATCGATAAGCATTTAAGTTCCAAAGTCTGAAAGAGATCGATTCACAAGTACGAAGGTCATAGGCTTAGTTACTTCTCGTTGGTAATTTTCAACTCTTCTTTCAACGTGCATTTGGGTTTCAAAACAAAACCAAAGGACACCCCAGCTGTTAAAGGAAGAGGTACGCAGCTTAAAGGACCTCAACGAAAACTAATAACAACAATTATATTACCAAACAACAATATACAGGGTAGCAGGAGTGCATGTGTATGAAAGCATTGCCATTCTATCCAACTAAGGAACCCAAAAACCCTGATCATGAACACGCTGCATTGGATAATGCAATAGAATGACCCATCAAAATCGCAATTACAAAGCTTAGAAGACACAATAGTATGGTGATTGAAAGCAGGAGCTAGACCTATCACATATTACCAGCTTTCAAGTGGAATAAAAATTGAAGCTGGTCTTTCAGCACAAGTTAAATCTCAGCAACACTAACCAGCTGCTTGCATGCATCAATGCTCCAAATAAGTACTACCTCCGGATCCGGATACCAGGAATGTCTTTCAAACCCATCTTTAGTGCTGTTTTTCTGAAGAGGGAAGGAGGTTTATGTAAGCCTATTGACTCGGAAAATTGGTTGGCCAGCTCAACAAGCGTTGTTTTATCCCTTCCAATCTCTCTGATGGAGTTGTAATACCCTAGCCAAGCATGATATGCTCCTTCTTTGACACTACTATCAATCTTTGACATTGACTCCTCCATCTGCAAAACAGAGCAAGCATCTAAAGGTTATCCATATGAAACCTGCACAATTGCATGCCCTAATAACAAATGGATAGGAGGGGAAAGCCATGCATTTTGAAATGTTTCAGAAGGAAAACATTATAAGTTTCAGTTTAAATCGAGGTAGACCAAATGTTTAGTTACTGTCCATAACAGGACCTCAACCATGCACCTTTTTCAGATACAAATATGGATCATCAAGTGATGTTAATTCCATAGAATGCAACGTAAGGAATCCACCCTTGAAATTTTTCTTTAACGTCAGCATGTTAATTAAGAAGACCACATGTGCCCTTCGCATACTTCTGCTCTGAGTTCATTTTCTTTCTTTTTTTTCTTTTTAATATTAAACCATAATTACAATCTCTTATAATGCTGAATAAAAACAAGAAGCAATTAAAGCAAGTTATCAGTTAGAGCATTACCTTAAAATTTGTTTCAGAATCAATTTGTGGTAAAGGGAATTTCTCGATTGGCAGGTCTTTTAACTCATTCAGGAAATATTCTTCCCATGGCGCGAGCAATAAGATCCCTTCTCCATCTTTCCCTTCGCGTCCTGTTCTTCCAAGCCGATGGATATAATGTTCACGATCATAAGGAATTCCCACCTGATTATGATTAAAATTGGTGCATTATTTTACAGTAACACAAAATAAGGCATTCAAATCAAGTACTGAGAAGAAATATACAAAATACTGGATGTTTGAGAGATACTGTCTACTGGGCACAGTTGATTTGATGCTTGGCAATTTATACAAGCAGAATATTATCCTTTACATTTTTGCACCTTCCAGATATATTTTCTTGTCAAGTTGAAAGGTCTTCCAGATATATTTTCGCATTCACATGAGTAGTCCCTAAAACTGTCGATTTTCATAACAAAGTGTCAATAGAAAAGCCAAACGCAATGAATTCTATATCATCGAACAAAACGGATAGATGGCTAAAAATCATAAAATTTAAGAAAAAATAACAAAATTGAATTAAATATGATTTTCAGTTCCGTGCAGTGGATGGATTGGTGAAGTCAGAAATTTCCTGTAAAAATTTGACCTCAATTCAGCGATTAAATTAAAAATTATTATACTTTTGCCATTGTGCCAATTGGCACTATCAAATCTATTTTAGGACCTAACCATCTTCTACTCGTCCATTAAAATATATATTAAATCTTCCACATATTCTATTTATGGCCTCCCTCCACTTAACCATGACATATCTCTACATCATCTTTTTTTTTTAACATTAATTTGTTAATTGATTGAAATCTAAAACTTACACGAGAGACAAGCTTTTGTTCCCTGCGTATTTATATTCATGGATTATTATTTGGAATTCTTGTCAAAAAATGAAAAAAGAAAAGAGAGGAAACTATTCAATACAGAAAAAAGGAAAGCATGGTGAAAAGCTACAGATACATGTTGACAGAAGCTAATGATAGCAAACAAACATAGAATACTTAAATTTCATGAGCGAAAAAGATTTTGGATGTGAATTTTAAATTGGCAACTTTATTCTCTCTGAAAAAAAAATAATAATACTTATCAAGTTTGTTTTTTTAAAAGGTTTATAATACCTTAATTAGACTAAAAACCCTATTTCACTTAAAAACACAAAAATAAAAATCCAAACATAGAAAGATAATAATTATAAAATCCAAAACAATGTATAAAATTAAAAAAAAAACAAGGAAAATAATAAAATTAACCCAAACCAGGATTTGAACATAATTTTTAATATTTCAAGATCTGACGGTTAGTATGGCATAAAAAAGCTATTATAAAGAAAAATTTTTTTAAGAAATTCTTGCAAAAATTTAAGCTCAATTGAACAGTCAAATAAAAAATTATGATTTTATTAGGTTATTATTCTGATTTGAAACAACTAAACCTTTTTTAAAACCTAAATCTATATCACTAGTTTATAAATGTACCTATTAGATCATCTATATAATTTGTTCATGATAGATCATCATCTAGTTGTTGTAAATTCATATCTGAATGCTTAAAATCACTTGTT